AGTCTAAAACTCCAGTTAGATTTTCTGTATTTCTTGCATTTGGCTTCACCTAAAGATGTCCTCAATGATGTCAATAACAAACTCATTTTCAATAGGCTCAGAGTTGGCTCCGAAGAAGGTCCATCCAACATCTAATAAATCACTAAATCACACAGCCAGTCTCTTTAAAACAAGAGTTTTAAAATGTGCAGAAATAAATGTACACAGAGTCTTCTGCACTTCAGGCATTTTTAGGACTACTAATGTTACAAAATATTCAATCACTTGTGCCACAGTGCCCATTCAATCACTTCAGTATGACCTTTCTTTATGAATTTTTAAGATGAATGATATTTGATGCCAATGTCACAAGCAAAAGAAGTATATATGCATACTGTTCATGAGTCTTAACCAGTAGTGTTATGAGCAGTCACGGAAATAGAAGAAAAATATCACTATATGCCTTTTCTTCATGACTTCTGAAAGACAGCTTCACTTACACTCAGCAGGTGATGATGAAGTCTTTTGCCTGATCATGGCAGACTGCTGTGTGTAAGACTTCAGGGACTGACTAAGAGGTGCTTACTGCTGTGCTAAAGGATTTTAATTTATTTAAAATTTGGGGCATAAAAGCCTTTTCCTTTTACTGACATATATTTTATTGAATTCTAAATTGCATATTAAAGTTCACTGCTATTAAAATGACTCACTGTATGCGTTCATGGATACCTCCACAAAGGAGCACAAAGTACTCTGTACTAACAGTTTTTTCCTCATTTTTTTTCATTTTTATTTCTTTTTATATTGTAAGTGCAGAGAGAACAAAATACAACTTATAATCCATAGATATTACATTATGAAAAACAAACAAACAGCCAAACAAAAAAACAGCCTTACTCTGTAATACACAAATTCTCATTTTTCAAAGCCCAGAAAATGAATTTTCAAATGAGGTTTCAAAGGAAAGCTTCCCCTCACTGGACAGCCAGGATGCAAGTACTACATAATAAAGGGAGGTGCAATTGTGAATACAAGCACAAGCACCAAAGCCCCAAATAAGGCTTCTTCTTTTCCATTTTCTTCTTATAAAAAAAGGCTTCTTCTTTTCCAAATTTCTGTAAACACTTGTCTTATTTCTCACCTTTAGATCATGAAGCCCTTTAGTGATTGACTTCAGATCTCAAGCACATTGTAAGATTTTTCATACGCTTGTGAAGAGCCATCTGAGATAGCTACATGGAAAGAGGGGGCTCGTAGTAGGATACACCAAGATGAAAAGGAATATCAGAGAATCACAGAGATTGAAAAGGACTTTGAAAGATCATCTAGTCCAATCACCCTGCTGGAGCAGGAACACCAAGATCAGGTCACCCAGGAATGTGTCCAGGTGGGTTTTGAATATCTGCAGAGAAGGAGAGCACACAACCACTCTGAGAAGTCTGTTCCAGTGTTCTGTTACCCTCACCATGAAGAAGTTTTTGGTTGCATTTATGTGGGACCTCCTAAATTCCAGCATGCACCCATTGCCCCTTGTCCTATCATTGGATGTCACTGAGAAGAGCCTGGCTCCATTCTACCTTATGTACTTATAAACATGAATGAGGTCACTCCTCAGTCTCCTCTTCTCCAAGCTAGAGACCCAGCTTTCTCATCCTTTCCTCATAAGGGAGATGCTACACTTCCTATATAAAATCTCTTTTCCAGTTATGTATCTAAACATGATGGGCCTATCTCTTTTAAAGTAGATTTTGATCTCCATAGCTTCTTAAGGGCTACATACAACAGCTATCAGTGCTGCTGAAGAAAGCCATCAGTTCATCAGTTCTAACTACCAAGCTTTTCAGAAGCAGAAAACAAGCATTTGCTACAATGACTATTCTGAAGTTTTCCCCAGGGACAACGTCAATCTTTCAGGTAATGAGTACTGACAAAGCTTTGGATATCTGGTAAAGGAGGCTTTGACAAGCTTTATGGACATCAGTGGGGGGAAAAGAAAAAAAAAACAACAACCTTACAGCTGGTATAACAATTTGATCAGATGGAAAAAAGTGCTTTAGCTTCAGGGGTTTTCTGAAGAACAATGTGGCTCTCTTCTGAGATGCGTAACTGCAAAATCTCTATAGGGTAGCAACAGTGAAACTGCCATTCATTTTTCCTCATTTCTCTCTCTAGTGAAGACAATTGGTCTCTAGAGAACATGTGAGAGTACAGCTTCTTAGACTGCAGCAGGAAGTACCATCTGTGATAGCAACAACCATGAGAATGAGAGTGTGGCCAGGTTAGAAAATACTCCTGTTTCCTACATCTAACAAGGCTCCTCAGCATAAAAACTGTATGAGTCACAGAACTCTGTATACTTGGCTTACTTCCTACAGTTAGAATGCAAAGCTGGGAAGAAGCTTAATGAGAAAAAGCTCAGATAACCTTTGCAGCTAGTTCAAGAAATTGAGATTTCTTATAAACACCTCAGAAGATCCTACTATTAAATGTGTTAGCATTGAAGTAGAAATCTTGTAGACAGAATGAACTCCACTTGAAAGATAAAGTTAAATCTATGCTGCTATAAACTTTATAATGAATCCTGATATGAAGTATAATAAACTAGAAATTGTTGTCACTGAATTGGGTGACTTTATCATTGCTTTTACTGAGAGGATAACAACTCAAAATGCTGAAACAGGGAATGCAATGGGATTGGTAAGATGATGTTGGAGGAAACATTTGGGAACTATAGTGAAGGAAGCTGGTGACTAAAACAAACAGAATCAAGCTGCCTATAGGTGAAGCTTTTTTTTTTTTTTTTTTAAGTTAAAATAGGAGAGAAAGGACACCTACCTACAGTACAGAACATCAATGTCTTCCTCCTTCTACACTCCTGTAAAGGCTTTCAGCACAACTTTGTGATGCCCCCTCACATGAATATATATATAAAGCCCTGCACAAGATTACAGCAGATGCTTCTGAAATTGGCACTCTGACAAACAGAAGTACAACACTCCACTCCATGTGCAGTTTGCTGATGGATGAACAGAGCAGATGAAGCTTTACATCTCATTTTAAATAAATATATTTCCTTCTCCCCATTGAAAACTCTCTCACTGTGCTCTATGTGCATTCTCTCATGTATGTGAGAATTTGCAAGGATCTCCTTTTGCATGTGTGTGCTGGGTACTGTGCTCACTTACTTGTTCCTTAATACCCTGATATTCAAGCAATGAACATGCTTTTACATACTTAGATATCTAGATATTCAGATATCACATGGTCATACTATTCAGGAGAAAGCACAGTAACATGAGTACATATATAGGCAGACTTCTTTAAACTACCTATTACAGCTCACAACAGAGAATCTATACCCTTATTTTCCAAACAATCACAACAAGCAAAACCAAAGCAACACTGCCCTCCAGTTTTTCTCTTAATGATTCTTACTTTAAAATGGCTTACGGTATGGCTCACAGATACTGTCTGTTGGTTATTCTCAAGACACCAGCTGATTGGGCAGCTGACCATTCTCATTCAGGAATTAGATGACAAGGAAAGTGTTCCAAAACAATGAGGTCTAATGCATTGAAAGTAAATACTGAAATTAATCAGGCTTTTCATTAGCATTTGACTGTTTTATAAACTACACTGTGATGTGTAATTTCCAAAGGACAATACAACAGCACTTCCAATTTCTTCAGCATTTAAACACCATTACAGGCTGATCCTATCAGAACCAACAAACTGTGAAAATAGAGAGACAGTAGTGAAAAGCAGAAGTGATTTCAAGACGTGAATTAATTGCACCTCAGCCCTAGAGACAATGACCATGAAGCTCAAATAGTTAAGGTTTATCCTGTAACTGTAAGAATACAAGGTGAAGGCTAGAAGACCAGTGAGTATTTTGACTAAACAACCTCACCTTGCAACTAGTTGCTGCAACATAAAGCATTTTGGATGTTTTTTTTAAAGGACTTTATACGAAAAGAGAATGGAAAGGAATCAGATACTGTGAAACCTGCTGATTAGTTTCATAATAAGGACTAAACCATGAGGTGAAACCCAAGGAACAGCTGTTTATCAGAATATCATAAAATGGAGAAGCTTCTAACTGGAGTAAATCAGATTATTTCTTTTGAATATACAGCACGTTGTACACATGATGTGTTATAAACAGTGATTGGCATCAATACAGTTACAGTTGCATTCATTTTCTTTAGTGGAATCATGAGAACAGGAGCATAAACTGTCTGGACTCTAACAATAACACACAGCATATTACTGATACTGTCCACTCACACAAGATAGAAATGCCCTTTTTTTAAGGAGCTTAAAATCTGAAATTTGAATGTTTCAATACTGTAAAGAAAAACTGAGTTCAGAAATAATAAATAGCATAATGATTATCAGTTCAGTACCTAGATTAGGGAGCAATAAAATTTAGAAAGCAACAAATTACTGACATTTTACTGGAAGAAACTCAAGATATGTCAACCAATACACTTCAGAGTGGAAGCACAGATCTTTTTTTGTAAAGACATTGAAATCTTTATGAATAAAGTTCAGGTGATGGTTAATGATGGTGAAAGCAATTGAGTTTCAAAGGGAGTTGAGCACGCAACTTCCCTTCTCTAATTTGAAAACCCAAGGCAACAGCAATGACATTTAGTTTTAATCATCGTATCACTATAGGAAACAAATTTTAACCTTTTTTTCCTTGCTAGAATGAAGTGCAGGTGAGGGAGCAAACCTGGCGGGAATATGAAGATCTGCAGCTCAGTGACTCAGCAGCAAAAACAAACTAGATCTTGGAAAAGATGACAGTGATAGTGCAGATTACAAGAAAACAATCAGATCTGACTGTCAAACTTCAACCTCTGTGCAGGCAAGTAGGTATCCAGTTTGTAAAACATACCTTAGCATGTTAGGGATTTTTTGGGGTGGGGAGACAACACAGTTTTGTTTACGTTCTGCCATTTTGAAATGCATCTTCTTTGCCTAGATATTGGCAACACAAAAAAAATGTTACTTACTCCCTCATGCGGTTCAACTTGGTCTCAGCCATAGTGTTGTTGAGGGCTCTGAATCCCTGGGGCACCCCTGGAGCCATGCTGGTGACAGTTGCCGAACCTACAAATCAATGCACAGACATACAACCTCATTCACCTTCATCCCCTGAGCACTATTTCAGAGTCAAGGGCAGTCAGGAGGAGGAACACTACTCCTGTTCCTCACAAGGTAGTGCCATATTAGGTAAAGATGAATTAGATTATTAAACACACATTAAGGGCATTCCTTTTGCAGTGACATGTAGATTTATATCTCAAAAGCACCAGAATTGTAACATGAATTTTCCTGCTGTGAAGGAATTATTCTATTACAGTAGAAAAGACAATTACTAAAGGAAATGCTGGGACAGACAAATACTCAACAAAATGAGATTTACTTGGACAATATTTATGCTCTTACATTGTTCTTGCTCTTAGTTGTAAGAAAGAGCAGAAACTCTCTTCCTAATAGGCAAGTCTCTTCTTTGGCTCAATCATTCTGTAAACTCACAGTGTTTTACCAATCAGACAGTAAACTGACTTATGACATTGCTTTCCTCTTCAGATGAAAATACTGCATGTAAGTATATCTGTGACTATATATGTATACATACATATGCAAATGCTCACACACACACACTTCCTGTTCACATAGTTCATGTGCTGTTAAAATATTTAATGACCCAAGACCAGAGCTGCTGAATCACAGAAGGCTGCCAGAGTTGTCAGTTCAAATATCCCACAATTTTACGTTGCCACTGCATCACACAAAGTCCCTGCCCAACCTCTGGCAAGCCCTCAGGTTCAAGTTAGTGATTTATTTACTTATTGCCTCTACTGCTCCCACTGGAAGACGATTCCAGAGCCACACTGTGACCTGCTGGCTAAAATCCCCCTTTACTTCCAGACAAAATTTCTTTATTTTGTTCAGTTTGTTCTCATTATTCTCCTGTTTGGCTTTTTTTTGGCTCCCTCTTTTTGGCTTACTCAGTTCTTCCCTTTACTCCCTTTGCATACTCCTCTCATTTATTTGTAACTGGGGGAGAAAAAAAAATATTTTGCTTTCACCCAAGCAAAGCAGATATGTTAGTTCTTTTCTGCAAAACTATTTGGCATTAGGATTCCAATTCCCAAAGAGGAGAACGTATATGATGGTGGAACTTCTCCTGTGTAAATCCATGGGCTGTGGCATACAGCACGTAAGTTCTGAACAGCCACAATAGGGTTCTGTACAGGACATGAATAAGCCAAAAGTCACACAAAGAAGTTAAAGCCATGCCTTGGCTACATAAACAATCTCCTCTCCAAGCAGGTGTTTTTAACTTGGACTTAACTGGGTTTTAGCTTGGATTACATTAGCATTGATCATGTACAGCCAGAAGGAGCCTGCAGCTACCCTTCTACTCTGAGCAGTATAGACATCCCCAGACAGTACAGAGGCTTCTCCTGAATGCAGAATCATGACTTTCCCAGGAGTTAGGCTTCTATGTCTTACATGATCATAGATTCTGATCATGTAAATTTGAATATTGAGAGTAAATTTTCTACCATGGAGGATTCAGCTGAATTGTTCACAGTGAGCATCTGAGCACCTCCCAGATTCAGGGCTTTGCAAGTGAACATAGGAAGCAGTCATGGAGATAGATGAAAGAAGAAATGGATCACTGACTTCATTCTCTGGCTATGGACAAACCATTTGATTGTTTAAAAAAGATATCAAAATTCTCTTGCCATCTAATGGCCAATAGTTATCTGGTGCCTACATATTAAAATTGACATACAGTTAACACAGTTTACAAGATGAAAATTTACAAGCTCATTTCTCACTAGCAACCAATAACTTCATTCACTGAAAAAAAAAATCCTGATGACTTGCTTTAACACTACACATGCATATCCATCTATTTTATCCTGTGTATCATGTGATCTCTAAGCATTCAATTACTTCAGCAGCACTGAAGAATTCGGGTATCCAGAGTGGACTTGAGGATGATCCAAGTGCTATGAAGCAATGCTTATGACTTATTGGGTGGCTCACTCCTCTTTTCGTTGGCAGGGAATTAGGGTCCAGATGTAAGGACTTGGGCTTTGATATCATTGTCAGACTTCAAAAACAGTTACTTTTTTTTCTGTCCTGAACTCGAGTGGTCTAAAGAAAACGTAAACCTTCCATTCTTTCAAGACTGAGTACATTTAACCACAGGTCCCAGCTAAATTCTGATATTTTTATTATTACAGGATATATCATCGTGATAAGAGCACAGCAAACTCTTTCTACTTAGTGGGTTCAGTCTATTTATTGCTACAATACTTTATCTCCCTTTCTTCTGACATTTCATTATTAAAGACATCCTTCTTGTTTGTTGTTTTTTTAGGACTCCAGTCTAAATAATTCTTACTTTGCCTACTCTCAACATTGGCAGTTGGCCAAGAAATGCTTCCTCTTTAAACACAAACTAACATCTATCTTCCTCTTCATAAAATATGATCTTCTGGGTACTGTGAAGCAGCTGTGAGGACTACAGATTATAGGATGCTGTAAAGGTACAGCTACTCATGAAAAAAAAAAAAAGAGCTCTCAGTGAAATCCACTAACAGCTTTTCACACTGTTACTATGAAAAACCTCAAAACTTTTCCTGGAGTGATTCATAACACACACCAAATTCTGTATCACAGGGATTTTCTTAGAAGCAGTTACTTGATCAGTAATATATTTTGCACACAGCTTCCCAGCTTGCAACAGTCTGCCTACCCATACACCTACAGAACAAATAACTATGCTTCTTCAAAAGGTGGCCAAGTAACTATTTGCATTGTTAAGCAATTTACTGTTGTTGATTAGTTAAACTAAATCAAATGAAAAAACAAAAACAGTGACTTTTCAAAGCCGAGTACTTTCATTTCCTATATATATTTTAAAGATGAATAGTCTTCCAGTCTCTAAGAGAAAACAAGAGGCAAAATTGTCCTCTTGGGTCATGGAGTATCAGTTTTGTTGCACTCACTGCATTCTTCTCACTCTGTCAAAGGGAAAAAAGATGAAAGAAATATCTGCTCACATTTACTCATAGATACTTACAGTAAAAAAAAGATGATTATGATTAGCTGATGAGACGTCTGTATGTTATGTATTAAAGGAATTCATACCTACATTTCTGCTAAAACCCCAAGTGCTGGTGTTAGACACCTATTGCATCTCTTGAGAATTCATTATGTGTTAAGGAACAATTATCTCCACTGAATCATAGACTACTGGTTTGGATCTGCTTTTTCAGCTTTCATTTCTACATGAGATCCTCCAATGCCTTTTTCTCTAAGACTGAAAAGTTCCTCAGAATCACAGGTATTTTCCTGAGTTTATAATGTTTTAAAAGTACAAACTGACCAAATTGCCTCTAACTTTCCCTTTGCTTAAGCTAAGATGACTCAGTAAACCTTAGAGGTAGTCTTTCAAACTTCCTTTCATTTTGTAGCTCCTTTCTTGTATGTACTCAGATGTTCTCTAAGATATGCTTGAAATTGTACTTTTTTTTCTTTTTTTTTTTTAAGATTCCTTTAACAATGAAAAATCTATGATAAATTCAGACCAGTCAAACTTCTGCAGCCACTCTATCACAGCCATGAAATTCCTACTGTTTTAAGGAGCAGTTATTACAATAATGTTGCAGGTCTGCAGCCCAGCAACATGGTATTGCCAGTGCTAGTGCCAGCCCACAGGCTTGGGCCTGGGTTTGCAAGACTTCAGCACTGAGGTCTGTCAGGTTTTGCCCAGCTGGAGCTTCATTTTAATAGCTTAAGTTGTAACTGCAGTTATAAGGACCTTGGGGCTATTGGTTTTATTTCCACTTATCTTTGTATTCTTGGCATCACAGAACCATAGAATGGTTTGGGTTTGAAGGGGTCTTTAAGATTATCTAGTTCCAACCCCCTGCTATAAGCAGGGACACCTCTTATAGCAGAGGGTTGCTCAAACAAGTTGCTCAAAACCCCATCCAGCCTGGCATTCAATGCTTCCAAGGAGGGGATATCCACAACCTAGGTGGGCAAAACAGACTTCTCTTTTCTACAAACAGACTTTTTAGATGGATAGTAGAAACCATTAGTTACTCATGTGGAATCTGCCTGATACAGAAACTTTGAGATGTAGAGACATAAGATGAGGCCATGGGCAAGGAACTGTAAGAAGTGAGGCATAAGCTGGGGACCCCATGTCTACAACTTTCTACTTGTTAAAGAAATGAAGACCTGGAAATGGGCAAAACTAGCTATAGCACTTCAGGTTAACAGAGAAAACATCCAAGCTATGTAAAACGCACATAATGCTTTTGATATGACAGGAAAGGAAAAACAACATTGGCAAACACAAGAAAACTCCCCCAAGTGGATCCTCGAGTGAGGAAGAAGCATTCCTGGTGAAGGACTGCATGTGCTGAGGGCTCCACATCCCCTGTCATGCTAGGCTGAAGTTACCAGCATCAATACCAGCGGGAAGGTGAACACAACAGCAGGCAAAGCAGGAGTTACAAGAAGCATGGATAAAAAAAATTAACTACATTAATACAGAGAGCTCTTTTTTTTTTTTTAACAGCTGTAACCATTTATTCATTTTCTTTTTCTTTCTTTTCTGTAATTATTAGACCTGGAGTAACAATAATTATTTGATTCAATTGTTAAGAAAATGGTCACCGTGCATTTTTAAGAGTTCCCTGTAACAACACAACTGAAATATCTTTTCATACCATAAATTGATTTTTTTTAATGAAAAATGATTAAATTACAGTGAGAATGTTGGAAAAAAAAAACAAAAACCAACAAACCAACCAAACAATATGATATAAGCATTTCTGGTTAATAAGCACAATGCTTCTAGGTTTTACATCCTGACATAAAAAATAATAGTCCTGGCTCATAGAGTTCTGACTAAGATGCACGTTAACAAGATGAGATACAGATTAAGATTATTTTAAAGACAGTTTGCACTCCGTCCAGCTTTGCATCTTGACATTGAAAGAACATAAAAGAGTAAATATTCAAAGCTCTTCTGCAATGCTGAACTTACAAAGATAAAAGGGACCCTAGCAGATTTCTGTCATATTATCATCACAGTTATTTGTTTGGAACTGATGATGCAAATCTAATTGCTTGCTCAGCTTTGAGAAAGGCTTTAAGTTTCAGCACAGAGTGGTCAGATGATTTTTAATTATTAAATCATAATTTAATTCTTTAACATCATAATTTTAAAAGGCATCTTCTTTTTCTTCATATTGAAAGAAAAAGAGGAAGCCAAGAAACTCTTTAAAACTAAGATTTATTTTTCAAAGAATGCCATTGTTTGGCTTTGGACAATACTCTGGATTATTCCCAGAAGCCATTAGGGCAATTCCTCTCTTGCATTAAGAAAACAAATTATTGAAGTATAGAGCAACATTTTGTACCCATTACCACTTCTGTAAACCTCCTGCAGACAACAGGGCTGCAAATTTATTAATAAGTGCAAAATTTGAAAACCATGGGGTCTGTTAGTGTGAAAGCAAACACATGATAACAGGCTTTCATTCAGTCATAAAGATCACCCTGATGTGGAACTCTGAAGGTGACCAGAGGGTGACTATGAGTGTGATGCCCATACCTTTGACTACTCCCTTATATCCTTTTTTTTCTTAACTTTTCTCTGCTATCATTCCATGCTCATGAGTTGGGGTGAAACAGAGATCAACAATGGAAGAACCACTGCAAGGAGGATTCCCCAAGCTTCCCCTGTCTTCTCATTTCAAAGTCACAAGTTTATCACGACTGAGTGTAAATGAGGCACCAAATCAAGGCTACCCACACACAGACTGCTACTGGCACAGCTTAACTTGTAGTCTTCCAGTGGCCACACCAGCTCCAGTAGATAGCCATCTTTCATTTATAGCTTCTTTTTAGCTTTTGAGTATGAGAAATAGAGTTTGAAACTCCAGATTTACAGAGAGAATTTGCAGGAGACTTTAGGATTAAATTGCAAACTGAAATTCTCAGTGATTTTCCTATACCCATACTGAAATAATGTAAGGTAGAATATACATTATCCAAATGTGGATCATCTTTTTTTTTGTTTAAAAACAATAACAAACTTCTAAAAATTCATTTTATCGTATCAGTAGTAGATTTAGAACACAATTTTCAGGAAGATCACTTTTTTGAGATTTTTTTTTTGCAAAATGATAATAATGGAAACGTGATGAATAAGAATATTTAATAACTGCTGATATTACATTTAAAGAAGAAATATCATCTTACCCAATGAGCTATTATTTAGGATGCTCTCCAAATGCTTGACCATTGCTTCAATATCACTGTCCTGAGGATAAACAAAATAACAAACAGCATTAGTGTGACCAAAATCCTAAATAAAAAAATACTGGTGGTATGATCCTACAAACATGAAGAATATTACTTACACCAAAGAGTGTCAGTGCTAGACTACAACAAGATGAATACATTTCTCACAGCTTTATAAATATCTTCTTCCTCTAAAACAGTAGGGTGGGGAATGGTGCTATGTAAAAGCAATTATTTAAGTCAGATGTCCAGCAGAACACAAACGTAGGACAGTTATGCATGCAGCTTAAAGAATGTGTTTATTGCTGAGGTTGGTGTGCAATATTTGAAAATATACCAGCATATTATTATTGGTTATCCAAGAAATATCTATAACAGGATTAGAAAAGGAAAGTATAGATTTCATAACTATTCCAAAATTTCTTAAGACTTATATTTACCACTACAAAATAATACTTATGTTTCATGTAATTGCACCTACTCACACATCTTCTAACAATGAATAATTGAAACTTTAATTGGGAGATGATTTTAGCACTTTTCTATTTTAAGTTTTCTATTGCAAGACAGATAATTAACAGTTTTACCATGATATCTTTCATGTGAAATGTCATTCGTGTACATTGATGAAATTTAAGATCTGACCATTAGGAAAATATTGTGCTCTAGGAAGCACATCACATTTCATTTGAATGTAAGAGAAAAACCTGAGTTTTTAAAAGCTGTTATCACACCTCATGTGACAACAGGGTGACAACACGGCATCCCTTCACTATTTAAAATTGAACATCAAAAGTTTGACCTCACTGAAAAATCCAACAAAGATACTGAGAAGCCTGTGGTTTTAGAAAGCCTACAGAATAGGAAAGGGAATTTGACAGAAGCACAGAAGAGAAGCACTCGCATACTTAAGAGCCAACATGGATGAATGCTTGGACGTTTCAAACTCAGAATGAATGAAATAATTTTTAATAGCAACAGGCAATACTAAGGATGCCGTGTCAGGCACTAGGACCCTAGTGGAACAGCTTTGGGGTAATAATGCACAGTCTGATCCACTGGATCTATAATTCAATGGAGATGTGATGATAATTCATACTCTATCACTGGAGCTACGATAATTTATGCCAGTTGATTATCTGGCTTGCTGATCTCAGGAGCAGCCTGGAAACTGAAAATAGTCAGCTAATGTACTGTATTACTAGAATTTGTAATAATGAAGAGGGCTAATTTGCTATTAAAATTATCACTAAAAGAAAACACAAAGATCAAAGCGATAAACTGCAATAAAAAGCATCTCAGCTAAATCAAAGCAAATGTGAAACTTTCACGGTTTGCTAACTTCTCAAAATGAAACTCCTTCTATGTTTCATATTTTCCAATTTATTTTTAGAAATAGTTTGTTACTCTCTTTCATGTTGTTTCTCATGCAATTAGAAACGTTCCTAAAAAAAACCTGAATGATTAAAAAATGGAAAAGAGCCACTAGCTCAGGAAGCTAGAAATCTGGAAACATAACTGACAAATTTTTGCTTGAATTCTGGCAATCTGTATATAAACTGCAAAAGAAAAGGAAAAAGGGCACTGAACTCCAGTGTTACAACCAACACAACCAAGATGAGATGCTCACATGTGTGAGGACTTAACACTGGTGAAAATTCCACATCTACAAGCAGACCGTGCAGTTGAGATCACACAAGCTGTATTGAAAATTACCAATAAATACGAAGTAGATGTTCCAGCTCCATCCTCAAACTTTCAATTATACCGATTAAGTGCGTGACTCCACCTTCTTATATGAAAGGTATCATTTCGTAAGGCCACTACTGTGACTGTCATGACATCTGTGGGAGTCTCACATAGCAGGAATTAAGAGCTTCAATCCCTTTCAACATTACGCATCCCAGTCTGTTATTCAATTAGATTACTTGTCTGACCCCCTGCTACTGCTTGAACTACTGCACAAATATCAGAGGTTTTTCTTTTAGTTTTTGGTTGAAGTAAGTAATGGGGTCACCATTAAGCACTGCCAGACATAGCATTTCTGTACTCCATCTGCACAAAATTAATCAGTAAAGCAATCTTGACACTAGATAATTGAGAGGTTTGCAATGATTAAGACGGTAAATACCTTACAGTTCCTTGTCCTGTATTATAGTGGATTGACTTTCAAAAGCTTAATTTGTGGAGGTATTTTTGAAGAAAGAGTTAAAGAGTATGAATCCTATCATAGAAATAGGAGTGGGAGTTTTGGTATTAAGTAGATGACTGCTGAAGCAATGCCCTGCTATATACTAGCAAGATCAAGTCTATTCTGGTAGGATTTGAAGCTTACTATTAAAGTTGAGCATGATACCACCTACCTTTGAGTGGGATTCATCTCACATAACTGTTGACATCCAGAATGAAGATGCCTCATGCATGCTAATAACTGCGAATCTCTTTACAATCACCAGAGGTACCTCTCAGCATATTCTATCTGACCCACACATTAGGTGTTTTTGCCAAGATAAAATTATTCCCTAAAAATGTGTATTTCTCCTAACTGTACAGAGTTTATATCCAGTTAGGTCAGACACGGGCGTACAGCAAAGTCCAACCTGCTTTGTCTTCACACTTCCTGCATAATTTTTTACTCAAGACAGGGAAAAGTGAAAATTTTCTCAATTCCTAAGAAAAAGAAAAGGTGATTGTGTCCGTACCCCCAGTTTTGCCTTATTTAAGTTGCTGGTCAATAGGAAGGAAAATAAGGTCAGCCTATTTGCTTCTTTGATAAAAAGTCATGAGAGACAAATGCTCTGAGAGGGTATGCTTTCCAGCTCAGTCTGGGGAAGCCAATTTGCAGAGGACCAATGCATGGCACGCACACAGACTGCCAATAAAGCCAAACCACACAGCCTGGAGGGGCTGGATCCTGACAAGAGACATGAGTGGGACAGATCTTCCAACCTAGCATCAATTCTTGTCACCACTAAATTCTGAATCACTACAAAATGACTGAATGACATTGCTCAAATCTAGCTGCCAACTCCCAATTTATTCTGCGTTATTGAGAAATCTATTTTTATCTTCTGCCCTTTTAATTCTAAGCAGCAGTCTGCCTGTTCAAAAATAGTATTGATTGACACTTAATGATATTGCCAATGAAAGTTGAATGAAAATTTTGAGCGGCTTTCTAAAAGAGAAAAATGGAAAAAACAACACTTAAAGTCTGATAAAAGTGAGCAATAATTTATTTTTAAGATTCCATTGTGGTAGATTTTTCAAGCAAGAGAGTTTTTGTATTTTTGAGTGTTGTGAGTAAACACAGACACAGCAAATTCCAACAACAAAGCATTGACTCAGATATTCCACTGGTTTCCAACTAACTATTTCTTTAGATTACTATTGAATTTGCTGTTAAAAACTGCAGTGTGTTTAGTTTGAAAGCTAAGAGGACATTTCTAGATTGAATGAGGTGTTTATGACTAAACTTCAAGTTTAACTGGTTGAGAGAATTTCAGGATTCCCCACCTACGTGGCAAAAGTAGCATTCTGATTTCTCACACAGGTATTTAATTTCTGCCTTAAAAACTACATCTTAAAGAATCTATTAATTCAAAAATTTCAAACAATATTAAAAATTATTCATAATTTAATGAAGAGTTTTAGCAAACTTGGTTGGTTTCCTAGAATGTAAACAGCGTCATACTCTACTCTGCAGATTTTGCACATTAACTCCACATAACAGTTGTCATCCTAAGCAAAATCAGACAGTATTGTTCAGAAGCACTGCAGCAAAATGTTTTAAGTTGATGGCCCAGGGTGGAAAATAATTGTTCCTGAATGCCTTAGGAAGATCCATTTTCAGAACTGACTTGGCCATTTAAGTTCATCAATTTCACTGAGACTTGATCACTGAAGACAGGATTCATTGCAATTCCTTCTGATCAGACCTAAATTAGGTGCCTTTTCCAATAATCCTCAACCTTCAACCTGAGATTTTCTTGTGGCAACCTTACCTGATAAAGCTACTTTAAGTCCTTCAATAATAAATTTTCTTTTCATTGACTTTCTAAGATTCTTGGGAAATTTTACAGATGTGCTGATCGAGACTTGCTGATGTTAATGCTCACAGTTATACTACACTAGAATATGATCAATACAGACAAGAGAAGAGGGCATCTAGAGGTGCCAATCTTTCCCCAGGAATTAGACCTGGAATTCAGATCCTGTGCTTGAAGTATTCTTTCAGCTTTAACTTAACCTAGGTATAACTTTACGTTAGAGAACCCCACTCTGTGTTTATGGCTACAAGAAAATTAATTTACTAATAGCAATTCATTTTAAAGCATTCATGGGAGTATGATTCCTAATCTTGAAGAAATGCAGGAGTCTTTCTCAGCAATGTATATGTATAATTGAGACATACTCCTACAGCTAATCAGCTAAGCTGATATAGACACATATTCCTTACAAAAGCAAATTTAAGTAATATCAAAAGGACAAAATCTTGGAAGGGGTTTCATTTTCCCTAAGAAAACATCAAATGTGTACTGTTTCCCCAAAGGTCACACACACCTGATTTGTCTTTGTTACAGTCTGTGACACTTCCACATCCTCTGTTTCGCTGTCTTCTGAATAGGATTCAAACTCCTCCTTATAATATTCTTCTGCAATTTGCGGGTCTTCAGGGATTTCTAGAGGAAATTAAGAGTTTACAGTATTACATAGACAGACAACATTCATGATCTTAGAAGGATGCAATGAATTTTACATCACTCATGTCAATAACAACGCATTCTGAAGTTGAAAATTGTTGCAGAAGTTATCAGATTAAAATTTTCAGCTTTGATAGCGTGATAAATAGTGCTAAAACTGCCTCTGTCAAAAGGTCGCACTCTCATCACATAGAAATTAATGAGGATCTATACTGAGTTTCAGATGAAATCACTGAACCATAGAGTAATTCAGGCTGGAAGATACCTCAGGGGATCATCTAGTTCAGCCTCACTCAGAGCATGGTCAGACTTCAACTGAATCCAGCTTTTGTGAGCTGAAATTATGTCCCAGTTTGGTTTTCTCTAACATACATTACTTTCCTAGTCCTGCTCACCACATCACGGCATCCTGGCTTGTATCAGGAACGGTGCAGTGGGCACCTTACTCGGCACTGGTGAAGCACCACCTTGAGTGCTGTGTGCAGTTTTGGGCACCTCAATTCAGAAAGGACATTGAGGTGCTGGAGCAGTTCCAAAGAAGGGCAACAAGGCTTGTGAAGGGCTTGGAGAATATGCCCTATGAGGAGAGAATGAAGGAACTGGGGCTGTTTAGCCTGGGGAAGTGGAGGCTGAGGAGAGACCTTATTGCTCTCTTCCAATTTCTGAAAGGTGCTGGGAGAATGGGGCTGGTCTCTTCTAACTGCTGACAGGATGAGGGGAAATGGCCTCAAGTTGCACCAGAGGAGTTCAGGTTGAATATCAGGAAAAACTTCTTTACATAAAGGGTGGTTAAGCACTGCAATAGGCTCCTCGGGGAGGTGGCTGAGTCACCAACCCTGGATATGTCTAAAAACCATTTGGATGTGGTGCTCAGGAACATGACTGAGCCGAGGGTTGTTAGAGGTAGGGTAGTATGGTTAGGTTGCGGTTGGACTTGATGATCTTTAAGGTCTTTTCCAACCAGGGCAATTCTATGACACATATCCTGTGATGAATTTAATGGCTAGGTTAAATTGGAAATTTAGGCTAGGAAATTGGAAATAACATATATCAGAGTCCATATATATCATAGTCCACTGCATATATCCATAAGCAGTGAGTTAGTAAAACGGCTTGAGGCCAGACTGCACCTTCTTCAGCGAGCTGTCTTTTCTCAGCAAAAGCCTTTAAGCACTTGTTCATTTTTAAGCAGAGACTAGACTGTGGTGACTATCAAAACAGCAGGATCCCTGTTTTTCTGAACAGAAAGCTTCAATGCAAAAAGCTGTCCATTGGAAGCACTGGTCAATGACAGAGATGAGACTAGAGCAGAAGGAAGACCAGCTCGACAGCTTTCCCATTGATAGCCTTCAGCATTTGAGCAGGGAGGTGCTCCAGGAAAACTAACACTTCCACCTTATTCCATGCAGTGCTTACCGAGTTATTATCAAGACAATTTTTGTACAAGTCCAGGTACAACATTTTTATGCTATCAGTTTTCAAATAGAAAATGTTGGCTAGGCTTCCTTGGCTGCTATTATTATAAGAAATGTTAGCTGAAGAGAAAAACAATCTAATATCAAGCTATTGTAAATCACTACAGTCTTAATATCAGATAATGCTGATTTTTCCCATTCTTCCAATTAAATCTACTTCTTTAAATCATAGAACCATAGAACGACTTGGGTTGGAAGGGACCCCAAGGATCATCAAGTTCCAATCCCCCTGTCACAGGCAGGGCCACCAAGAAACATAAAGTGACTAATCTTTCTTTAATATTACTGCCTTGAAAGAAATTCAAACAATACTTTGTATAAAATTAAAAATGCATAATAGATGTTGAAAAGATTATTTCACGTGGGTAAAAATATCCAAAAGATTTAAATAAGTGAATACAATTAAAAGATGCCCTTGGATTTTGGGCAGAAGGAACCATTCTAATTTTCAAGGCATAAGACACTCAGTGAAAAAAATGAGTAAAAGTATTTATCGACTGCACTAGGTTGAAGTTTTTCTGTTGAGATTTAAATCTCTACTATTATCTACTGTCCCCAGAGCACTTTCAAAAATACTTCTTACTTTGTACATTTACCTACGAAATTCAAACGTGTCAGTATTTGCTCTCAGGTTTCTCTTTTTTAAGATATTTATGTGAATTCCACTGCCTTGAATTTGTAATAAAAAAAAAAAACAACAATAACTTGTGCTTCCAGAAGAACCTCCAACCACATAAAAAGCTTATTCCACAAAAGAAAGAATTTATCATTGCACCTAATTATTTGAGTTCTCCAAAATGCTATTTGACACAAAAGTCTAACACTTCATCTTAAAAAAAGAGCTAAATCTCAAACTCTCAAACCTCATTCATTTTTAGCATTGGAAGAACACTGCTGAACACAGATATGTGTTCACTTTCAGACACAGTGAACATTTGTCTTTCTTTCTATCAGGGAGGCTGTCATTCCTGTTATTACTCTAATTTTATTAGGTTCATCTGCATGCTATTTGTATGTCTATAAGCATTCACATAGCTATGAATCAGCCTATTATAATGCAAACATTGCGCTACACTAGTGTTTTCTGACCCTCCCATGTTCCTTTGTTTACTGCTGTAGTGAAAAACACAATCCTCCCCTTACCAATTGAAAATCACAATTTACATGCTCTAGAACTCTACACCTTATCAGTAGCTCACAACCAGATCTCAACTGAGCCTCATACATCTAAACTATCCAAAGATGCTGGCACTAGCTGAATCCTACTTTCACACCAGCTTTTGCATCTTTCCCACAATTTCTCACTTTACCACTTGTGACATTGTTTTGACAGCTACACAAAGATGGTCATTTAATCTGAGTTCAGTAACACAATTTCAAATGCTAGTTCAGACATGAAAGATATTCCAGAATACAGATGTTTACTGTGTCCAATTCAGAACCTGATCTAAGTGACATTTCTCCACAGAAAACAGTATGCCCAGTGGATAGGAGCTTGGAAGTTAAATACAACAAGGCTTTAGAACTACTTTTTGTTATGACAAAGATCTTTAAACAAGACACTTTCAAAACAACAACAAATTCATTTAGAATGCATGATTCATTGTAAGTTTATACTAAATAGAACCAACTCCCTATTGCCCATTTGCTATAGATGCAGAGGCACAACTCTGATTTTTTGCTGAATTAATTTGGGTACACAAGTGCTTATTTAGTTGAGATCTTGGATCCGTCTAATCTCAAGAACACACAGGCTGGCTATAGCACAGCAGCCATAAGTCACCATGGTGAGCTGCGCCCATGCTGGCTGCCTCAGAATTTGTTTGGATGTTACACCACAGTGCTGAAGAGCTGTACAGAGTGAGACACTGAATAAACAGCTGGGACTGATTCACCTCTGCTAGAGCTGGAGTGAACAAACCTGGAGAAGTCCAAGTCCACCTCTTCATAACCGCTTGCTGGTCTCAATCTCTCAGTGCAGTGCAGATAACTCGAGTGAGCTGGGTTTTTGGCTCAGGAAACACACTACTAGGGGAGGCTGGGCCCAATACTCTGCCATTTTTACATCTGCAGGCCATTCTCTAGGATGTCTGCTACCTGAGTTTTCCTATAAGCCTTGATATTTCATCTCTCCTCATCCACCCCATGGAAAAAGTCTCATTACACCATCTCCTGAATGTTCTCAGTGCAGTTCCACATCTCAACAATGTAGCACAGAAGGAAAATTCTTGGTTTATGCGTTCATAAAACTAGCTTTAATAATGATGTTGCTCTTTGGGCTAAGCCTGTTTGAATCACATATGAACCCTTGCAGAGCCTATCATGGACTCCAAGGCCAGGGCTTTGATTCTGTCCTTTGCTCTGACACAAAACAGAAACTAAGTCTATTTATGCCTGGAAAATATTTGCAGGGAAAAAAAATTAAAAGATGCTAGTGAGGTGAACACCAAGTCTGTCATATTAAAAGAGGAAACGGAATGGCTGCTGCAGAAGCTGGGATACCCTGCTTCTGTGTTTCAGCATTTGGACTGGGAGAAAAACAGCACTGCATTGCATTTCCAACACCACTTGCAGCCCATACGATGCCCTTGCTCATGAAGCCCTCCTGATCTGCCCAGGATCAGAGCCCCCTAACCTTGCACGCAACAAAGCCACTCTGTGCATCATACACATGGCAGGCAAAGACCCTGCCTTCTTCAGTGAGCCTTGGGAAACAAACATCACATCCAGTATAAAGTCCTCTTTGACCAGACATAGCCATGAAAAACCCAATATAATTAGACTTTATTTTAGCAGGTGATTGAACTGGAGACTGGCAGAGGTTTCTTCCAACCTGAATTATTATATGATTCCATGGTTATGGAATGCTGCACCAACACAATGCTTTGAATTATGACAGATGTATTTATGTGTGTGGACATATTTAACATTTACACTTATAAGGTGATCAGAAATATGTTAATTTCCATATCCTTTGTTTTCTCAGAAAATCACTGGCAAAAAGAGATGGTTAATAGGACTGGCCAACACTTCAGAATCATTTATCTCAAAGCATCACTTATCTCAGAGCTTACTTCAAGAGGGAAAATAGAAAGAGAGGAGTGGCATTGCCTCTAGGATAGAGGTTTGAAACTCTCAGATAAATGGCCTGAGTTACACAATCCTGAAAGAGAAAAAGGCTCTGTGACACTACATGGTCCAGGTCAATATTCATTCAATTTGGAAAAATAAGATAATTCCATTATTATAACTTCAGATAACACAGATTATTTGTTTGTTTTCCATGCAGGACAACATTAGCAAGTCAGACAGAATTGCCACCTACTGGGCAGCTATAAAGGAGATATGCAACTGTGCCCATGGTAGGAGGTTGAAACTGGATGATCTTTAAGATCCTTTTCAACACAAACCATTCTGTGATTAAGATCTGAGCTTCATTGCTCAGAAAGTCAATGGAAGCTTTTCTCCAACTTCTAAACTACGCTGAAAAAGAGTCTCAGAAAG